GATAGATTCACTTAACCCTAGCCGCCAGCCCCTCATTCTATTTATAATTAACTTAAGTATGAGATATTACAAAGATGCCCTTAGTAGGGYGGCAACTCAACCTAAGTAATTACAGCTCTTTAAAAAATAAAAACTAATGGGCCCAAGGCCCAACAACATCTTAATTTAAAAGGAAATAAACTAAACACAAGTCGGCCCACTCAACAGTTGCAACAACTACAGTTAGGGCCAAGTTGGAGAGATATGAGCAGTTTCTGAGTCAGAGGGATAAAATCAGTTCCAGCTCATCATCAAGTGGACAACAAGGTGCAGGTGGATCAGGATGTAGTCATTCTACCTTGTTTGCACATACAGGTAGTTCACATGCCACTACAAATTATGCATCCACTACAGGTAAGGGGGGACTTCCCTAGATTATAAACTCATAAGACTCAGAACATATTACCAATATTTCCACTATCTTCTCCTCATACCACCTCTACTCTAGTAGAGAAAGAGTTTCCACAACTGATCATATGTTCCCATTGCTGGGAAAGGGTCTATCAAGATAATTGATACCATTACCCTACCTTTTTGTACGTCATGTCCCTAGGCTGAGCATTAATCTTTTATATGTTAGTAGTTTGACAAAGAATTTGAATTGTTCAGTGATTTTTTTCTCCTAATCATTGTGTTCTACAAGATCTGGAATCAAAGAGGACGACTAGGAGTAGTCGTGAGGTGAATGGAATCTATCTTCTTGATGTGCTTCCCAATTATCAAAGCCATAATGTCAGCAAGGATAACGAGTCAAAGTCAGTGGGTCAGGTTATGCTTTGGCATAATCGGTTAGGGCATTTATCTTTTGCTTCTTTGTGTTTTTTGTTTCCAAAGTTATTTGAGTCTGTCAATTTGTTTAGCTTAGAGTGTGAGGATTATCAACTTGGAAAATATGGATGTCACCTTTTTTGAGTCCACACCTTTTTTCTCAAGTGTTTTGGGGAAGGAAGTGGAGCAATCTATACCACTTCCTATTCCAACTAGACCCCGTTCATGGGCCGACCTAGCCCAGCTTGTTCTAAGTCGAGCTTGGACATGAATTTAGGCCCACAAGCTCAGGCTATGGCCTAAAATATCGGGCCTAACATTTTTCAGGCCGAGCTTGAGCTTTTTCAAAAAATCCCGACCCGAGCCCAAGCCTAACTTGATAATATATTATATAGCAAAATTATATTTTATATAATAAAAATATACATACAATATGCCTTTTTCTTTGTTCATCTTCTAGCTTTTCAAGCCATAGTGAGATCTTTTATTATTTTTGGGTTTTGAGGTCTTTTAATATAAATAAAATAGTATTTATTGAGTAAAATAAGAAAATAATTAGTTTTCTAGTCGGGCTTCGGGCTCGGGCCCGAGCTTCGAGTTTTATATGAGGGTCAAGCTCGAGCTCAAGACCTAGGCCCGATGGTTTGGCCGAGCTCGGGCTCGAGCCTAACTGTGTTTTGTTAATATAGAGACAAAGCCCAGCCCGGCTAGTAAACAGGTCTAGTTCCAACTCCTTTGTCCACTTCAATGTCTAACCCGCCTACTCCACCAACTTTGCCACCTCCATTGCGTTTTGCCTCTCAGTGTTTTACATGACAGTGCCTACGACAGCACAGAGAGGTTGGTTCCACAACAGAGACCACGTCACTCCCTATTGACTCATTGGAGATTCCAGGTTCGACTGACACAAACCCAGGTATACCTCTTGCTCCCTCTGATGGTTTAGTTTCTATTGATACTATTATCCTTGTTCCTAACACGATTACAGATGACTTAGACCTTCCTATTGCACTTTGGAAGGGGAAGAGAAAGTGTACAGTCCATTGCATCTCATATCACATTTCCTATAGTGGGCTATCTCCCTCCTACTGGGCCTTCCTTTCCTCCCTTGACTCTATATCTATACCTAGGAGTGTTAGTGAGACTCTCTCCAAACTTGAGTGTAAGACAATAATGCAGGAGGAAATGGAAGCACTAATTAAAAATCAAACATGGGAGTTGGTGGGTTTAATTGATAGAAAGGTTGCAAGGAGAGAGTTGGATGTAGATGAGTTTATACAGTGAAGTACAGGGCTGATGGAAGTATAGAAAGGTACAAGGCAAGGCTGGTTGCATAAGGGTACACTCAAACTTATGGGATAGACTACTTGAAGACCTTTGCACCGGTGGCCAAGATGAATTCAGTTTGGATCCTCTTATCCCTAGCAGCTACCTACTCTTGGCCCATCTTCCAACTTGATGTGAAGAATGTCTTTTTTAATAGAGATTTGCAGGAGGTGTGCATGGATCTTCCAACTAGATTTTACATCGATGTGACCAAAGGAAAGGTATGTAGGTTAAAGAAGTCTTTATATGGTTTGGAACAATCACCTAGAGCTTGGTTTGACAGGTTTAGGAGTGCACTAATTGTATTTGGCTATACTTAGACTTGACAATTGGGTTGGGTGGGTCGGGTTTGGGTTGGGTCAAGACACTTCGAGTTGGGTCAAACTGTTGGAGCACTTGGTGTAGCACTTGAATCATCTTCATGTTTGCTTTGCAGAATAATAGGCAATCATCAACAAAGAGCAAGTGGGTTATTTGTGGGGAATTTCTAGCCAGATGTATTCCCTTGATGCAACCTTGGTTTTGAACTTACATGCTAGAGAAGGCTTGCATGGCTATTATAAATAGATAAGGGGATAGAGGATCCCCTTGCATGGCTATTCTAAGAGTACCTCCATTGACTTTAATAGCAAAAGAAGGGGTCATGATACATTGTTCTATCAATCTACAAAAAAAGAGTGGGGAACCCCATGCCCTGCATTATCTTGATGGCTATCCAACCCTCACCTTTTTTATGTTTCTTCATTTTCTCAATGAGTTCTTTGGCTAACATGATATTATCTATACTTTTCCTATCCTTTATAAAAGTCGCTTGGTTCTCAGATATCAAATTGGGTAACAAGTTTTGCAACTTGTAAACTAAACACTTGGCTAAAATTTTGTAAATCACATTGCAACAGCTAATAGGCCTAAACTGACCCACTGTTTCTGCATTTTTCTTCTTGGGTATATACACCAGATTTGTGCAATTCAACTTCACTGGGAACTTAGCTAACTAAAAGAACTCAATGACTAGGTTGTACACCTCTTCCCCAATTATGTGCCAGAACAGTTGGCAAAAGACATGGAGAGAACCCGTATGGGCCGGGAGACGAATGTGCTTTCATATTTTTTACAATATCCCATACTTCCTCTTTTGTTGGAGGGATTAGTAAGGATTGTTTGGCTTCTTCAGGTATTTGAGGCAAATTAAGCTCTGAGATGTTCGAGTCATTACTAGATGACTCTCTCTCCCCCCAATTTGTTTTGCAAGCTTGATGAAAGCTTTTAGCACTTCTTCTATGTTTAACGAGTTTCCATGTAAGTGTTTGACGCCTTCATAGTAGTTTATCCTTCTTCTTAAGTTTGTCATTTGATGGAAATATTCCGTGTTTCTGTCACCCTCTTTTAACCAAATTTCTCTTGACTTTACTCACCACAGTTGCTCTTCCCTCAACAACCACTTATTATGCTCCTTGTATAGTCTTAAATAATTCTCATTCTGGACAGGATCAGCATGTGATACTTCTATCTTGTTTATTTCCTCGTCTAGAGATTTCAACTTCTCTTGAATGAAACCAAAAGTTTTTTTGTTCCAAACTTGTAGTTTAAATTTGCACCTTCTAAGCTTCTGAAGTATTCTATTTGCAGGATCTCTTGCAATTTGCTTACTTCAGACTTTTTTTAGCACTATTCATCCTCTGTCCACATTGGCTGAAAGTGGAATTGTCTTGGGCCTTGTAATTTATTTGTTTTGGTTTCTAGGATTATAAGAGAATGATCAGAAAGAACAGTGTATTTGTTTAGGACATTAGCCTCTGGGTATGCCTGAACCCATGATCTTGAGGCTAAACATCTATCCAGTCTCTCTCTTACACGATGTGATCCCTGCTGATTATTATACCATGTATACTCCGTTATCCATCTCCATTATTTCAAATTGCTCTACAAATTTGGTTAAATGTTTTGATGGGGAGTTGGATTGGCTTCGTTGACCTTCATGGTCTTGATTGAATAACAAGTCATTAAAGTCTCCACAAATCACCCATTTAGCAGTTCTCAGAAAATCTAAGTCCATAAGAGACTCCCATAACTCTTTTCTCTTAGCTTTTTGAGGATGACCATAAAGACTAAGAACCAGGAGGCTCCTTGATCAGCATTTTTTATCTGACATATGATTAGGTGCTCATTTTGGTACAAGACCTGTAGGCATAATTTTTGCTTCCAAAAGCAACATAGGCCACCAGAATTACCCTTTGCGCCTTGACTAGTAAAGTTAGGGTATTTTAGTTTTCGTGCCAGAATCTCACTCTGTCTTTTAGTTTTGTTTCAGACAAATATAGCAAGTCAGGGTTATGGATTTTGCAAATTCGAAGAAGGTATCGGACTGTTTATGGGTTATTACAACCCCTTGCATTCCAAATAATAAAATTCATGGTGATGAATCTACCCCAAATGAAATGGAACTAAAAATGCATAACTAGTGAGAAAGAGATTACCAACCGGTGATTGATAAATCTGCTGATATGTCGTTATGCTTGATGCGGAACTGGTCCTTCCATCGAGCAATTAGTGAGCCTTTCCTAAGGCTTCGCTTCTCTGATTTCTGCTGATCTTGTGGTTTTTCCCATCCTACTCACCGAATGGCCTCGATATCTTCAACTTGAGACAGGGAGAGAACTAAACTTTCTGAAAACCTCTATTAGGCCGGTTATCTGAAGGGGCTGATACAGGGATTGTCGGATAGAACAAGTTCCACAGTCAGGACGTCAGTTAAGGCTGGTTGACGAAACGAACAAAAATATTTAGGGAAAATTCGATTAGTACCTGTGCCTAGTGCCATTTTGGTCTCGAACTTTAAAATAGACAATTCAGTATTCGAATTTTTAAAATTTGACAATCTAATACTTGTCATTAATCTTTCATTAAGTGATATTTAAAAAGGACATAAATACTCTTTTAATGTTATTTAATTTTCTTTATTAATCATTTAAATAGTGACAAAAAAATTAGCTGTCTCAAATCCTTTTTTTCTTCCGCTCAATAAAGTTGGGGTTACATTTGAGTGAGTATTTTGGTGACCCCAACTTTCTTGAATAGAAGAGACAAGGATTTGGGACTATTAATTTTTTGTCAACGTTTGGATAGTTGATAAAAAAAATTAGATGACACTCGAAGGGCATTTGTGTCCTTTTCAAATGTCACTTAACGACTGATTAACAGCTAGTTAATAATAGGTATTGGATTATCACGTTTTGAAAGTTTGAGTATTGAATTGTTGCATTTTAAAGTTCAGGGACCAAAGTGACACTAGACCCAAAATACATCGTACTAATTGGGAATCTTCCCAAATATTTATACGGGCTTAATGCCGAAAAGCACAAAAACCTTAACTGATATAGGTTGGTTGCCGATTGGAAGATTTCCCCCAGATGGTTAGAGCATTCAAAATGAGAATAGGCTGGTCCCCTATTAGTCCCTTTTTTAAACAATTCTACACCAACGAGGAATTCACATCATCTCCCCACAACATATCCAAACCGTATATGGGAGATGTTCCCAATGCATGCTGAGATGTGCATGTGGGCGTTTGTGGATCAAAAAAAAAAAGGGAAATTTCCCTATTAGTACCTTGTACTTTGGGCCTAGTGCCACTTTGGTCTTCGAACTTTAAAATGCGACAATTCAATACCCGAACTTTCAAAACGTGTCAATCTAGTACTTACCGTTAATAGTCCCAAATCTTTGCCTCTTCTATTCAAGAAAGTTGGGGTCTGTTAATTTTTTGTCAACATTCTTAAATAGAAAAGGCAAGGATTTGGGACTATTAATTTTTTGTCAACATTTGGATGGTTGATCAAGAAAATTAGATGACACTCGAAGGGCATTTATGTCTTTTTCAAATGTCACTTAATAGTTGATTAACGACAGATATTGGATTGACACATTTTGAAAGTTCGGGTACTGAATTGTCGCATTTTAAAGTTTGGGGACCAAAGTGGCACTAGGTCCAAAGTACAGGGTACTAATCGAGAATTTTCCCAAAAAGAAAAAAAAAAAAAAGATGTGATCTCCAACGAGCACTTAGGATTCATTTGGTAAGGAAATGGAATCGGAATCGAAATCGGAATGGTCTATTCCATGGTTTTCAAAACCAAACAGTCAAACCGAAAAAAACTGAGAACCGGTTCCATTTTACCCCAGAACCGTCTTTTTGGCCAAAAACCATTGATTTGGTTAGCAAACTGTTGGCCCAGGCATTCAAACCGTCCAATGGTTTTTGGCCATTTTTATTTTTTTTATTTATTTTTAGAATGGATTGTCCATTTTATTCGAGCGGTCGAACCATTCAACCCAAGAACCAAACCCCTGAATGGTTTGTTGTTTGGGGTTCGGTTTTAAAAACCTTGGTCTATTCCCATAGTCTATTTGGTTTAGAGTTCAGACAAGAATAGGAATGAAAATTGGAATCAATAGGAATGAGATTTCATTCCCAAGGGAGGGGCAAGGAATGGTCATTCCCACAAATGGGGGAATGCCATTTTAATTAGGGGTGTCAAATTGACTGGTTTTGGATTGGATCCAATTCGATCCAAACCTTATCAAATCAGATTTGGATGGTCCATTATAATTATTGGGTTGGGATAATCCAAAATAAATTGGTTCATATTCTTATTGGTATGAATTGGATCTAAACCAAATTTCCAATAATCCGATCATGTTGTCCAATTTGAAACCAATCAAAACTAAAGCCGGCATAAAATCACTTTTATGAAAGCACATTTACAAAAACACTTCTATAAAAGTAATTTTTACGAAAATTACTTATACAAAGCACTTTTACAAAAGTACTTTTGTGAAAGCACTTTTGTAGTAGTTTTATAAAAGCACTTTTATGAAAGCACTTTTGTAGTAGTTTTATAAAAGCACTTTTATGAAAGCACTTCTATAAAAATACTTTTACACGAAAACATTTCTATGAAAGCACTTTTACAAAAGAATTTTTATGGAAGTACTTTAATAAAACACTTTTACAGAAATACTTTTATAAAAGCACTTTTACGAAAGCACTTTTACAAAAGCAATTTTATAAAAGCACTTCTATAAAAGTAGTTTTATAAAAGTACTTTTATGAAATCATTTTTACAAAAGCACTTTTACGAAAGCACTTTTATAAAAGCACTTCTATGAAAGTACTTTTACAAAAGCACTTATACAAAAGTACTTTTATAAAAGTACTTTTACAAAAACACTTATATGAAAGTACTTTCGTATAAACACTTTGCGAAAGTACTTTCATAAAAGTGCTTTTACAAAAGAACTTTTATGAAAGCACTTTTACAAAAGTGCTTTTTCAATGCCAAAAGGGTATATTTTTTGTAATTTTCATATTTTCTTCATTTTAATATATTTTTGTAATTTTTTATGTTTTGTTTTTTTTTATATAATTTTTGAAATTTCATTCAGTTTGGATTGGATCCAATCCAGTCCATTTACATTTTAATGGTTTGTATTGGATTTGGATTGGATTAGGTCCAGTCCATTTGTAAGTGGACTCTCATTGGACATTTGGACTGGATCAGGTTGGATCAAATCTAGTCCAATTGACACCTCCAATTCCAGCAGGAATGGGAATGGGAATGGGTTTCCAATTCTGCCCAACCAAACAGTTGGAATCGGAATAGCCCATTCCGATACTAATTCTAGACCCCTATTCCTACGAACCAAACGAGGCCTTAGAGATTATGGAGGTATTCTAAATGTAGACGAGATATTGCATGGTGAGGATTAATCTACACCACACCACTGTGGCATGGATGAACCCATATCACACCACATGTTGGTAGAGGTGTAAATTGGGTCGTGCAAAGTATGGGTTGTGTCATGCATGGTCTACGAGCCGAGTTGGGCTTTGCTTCCCTCCCCTAGGATACTTTGGGGGGTTGGCCTATTGAGCTTTGGGCCAAGTCGGGTCGTGGGCTGGGCCAAGCCATGTTTTTTTTTTAATTAAAAAAATAATGAAAATTTTAACATAAATTAAAAAATAGACAAAAAATTAAAAAAGATCTTAAAAATTTATTTTATATGAATTTTAATGTATACAATTGTTTATATATGCAATAATATAATAAAATTGAATATGCATATTAATATATAATATAATATATATAAATATATATGGGCCATGCCATGGGTCGGGCCATGGGCTGAGCATTGTCGGAACGGCTCGCTCGGTCATGACGTGTCGTGCCAGCCCATGGACCTAAAACCCTAGGCCCTAGGCCATGCTATGCCAGCTCAAAATCATGTCGAGCTATGCCAGGCCACAAGCAGCACGATCCGATTTACACCTATACATATTGGAGTTGTTCTATAGCATGGACGAACTATGTGGATTAAACCACACCACACCAAAAGAGGCATTCTCCAAGGTGTGGTTCAATTCAATACACACTTTATGTTTTGATTCTACATATCTACATACAATATATGAAATGATTTACACCATTGATCAAGTATAAACATTATTATGTTTTATAAATAAGATAAATAGTAAAATAATACAAATTAAAGATAACTATTAATAATAAGGGACAATACATTAATACATATTTATCAATAAAAATAAAACATTAACACATATTTATAAATAAATATCAAAATTATTAAAGTCCTAGTTTTATAGATAATTTAACAAAAAATAGTTAAAGATAAAACAGACCTATCTAACAATAATAATAAAAATGAATAAAAAATTAAACTACACAAATATAACTAACATTAACAAAATTAAAAGATCAATAATAAATTAATATAAAGTTTTAATAATACTAAGAATAATAAAAATATTAATTTTGAAATTTAATTTTAAGTTTAAAAGATTTTTAAAACAATAAAAATTATTAAAATATAAATAACAATCGATGCAAAGAAGGCAATGAGAGAGAAAATCAAATAGAAGAAGATACATACGTTATGATGAAACATAGAATCATTCTTTTATTATAAAGGTTAATTGCTCACACCGTGGTGTGGAAGAAAGCACGAGATAGGTCCATGAATGATATTTTGAGAGAGAGACCGTTTCAATCCACAGTATATTGTGTTTGAAAACTTGCTAGACCTCAAACGAACGCAAGTTTGGGTGTAGCGTATTTTGAAATGAGCCACCATCCCTCAAATTCATGCTTTCGAACATCGCCTATGTGGAACAAAAAATTAGACAACTAGCTAGTTTTATTTATATATTTTGCTTTTGTCCAACATAAATCAGGGCTTGCTATGTTGAAATTTCCTACCTAAGAATAAGAAATGCCTCTCTAGACAGCTGAAAAACACATGTTTATCTTATTCAAGTCAAATATGCTGTTGTAAGGGTGGCAAATGGCTGGCTTGGGTTGAATACTAAGGTGGCGTTTGATAAAATCTGAAAATTCAGATATGAAAAGTTAAAAAGATATTAAATGTGTCTGAAATCTAAAAAGATGCATAATTGCTTTTCTACTTTTTAGAGGATTCAAATCCATAAATTTGTTTGTATTGGATCAACCCTTTACCATTTGAAATTTATTGATTTTACTATTTTACCCCTAAAACATACAATTTGGAAATGTTGAATTCAATTTACATTATCTCAAAAAAATTAACCTCAAAATAATATTGAAACAATACAAATAATAAATAATAAATTAATAATTACTAATTAATAAATGAAACGATTAAAATTAAAAAATAATTAATGATTATAAAAATATTAAAATAATTAGTAATTTATACAAATAAAAATTAAAATAATTAATAATTTTTAAAAATTAATGAAATAATTAAAATTTCTAATTAAT